CACGAAGAAGATGGGAGGTGCTGACGTGGAAGGCGGAGGGCTGAGGAGGCAGCAGATGCCGCCGGCGAGTGTGATGACGAGACTCATTCTCATCATGGTCTGGCGAAAACTCATCCGGAACCCTAACACTTACTCCAGCCTCTTCGGCCTCGCTTGGTCCCTCGTCTCCTTCAAGTATATATATATATATGCCCATCCATGACTGTATATGTATATATGTGTGTATACGTACGGTCCTTTTTCATAATTTTGTTTTTGTTTTTACACAGGTGGAATATCAAAATGCCCACGATTGTGAGTGGATCTATTTCCATATTGTCAGACGCAGGGCTAGGGATGGCTATGTTTAGTCTAGGTATATATATACGTATAGCATTCCTCGTCTTCTTCCTAATCAATGAATGCATGTACGTACTTGCTGTAAAATGCATGTTAGATTCTGCCTTGATTCATACAAATCCATACAGAGGATTGTGATCCCTGTATAAACCCTAAATATTATACTTACAATAATGTTGGTTTTATATGTTGGTCATGTATGGTTACAGGGTTATTTATGGCATTGCAACCTAAGATCATAGCATGTGGGAAATCGGTGGCCGTATTCGCCATGGCCGTCAGGTTCTTGACGGGTCCGGCCGTCATCGCTGCCACGGCCATTGCCATCGGAATCCGAGGCACTCTCCTCCACGTCGCCATCGTTCAGGCTGCTCTTCCCCAAGGTATCGTCCCCTTCGTGTTCGCCAAGGAGTACAACGTCCATCCTGACATTCTTAGCACTGCGTAAGTTTACTTTGGATATTGCAACAACAATAACAAAATATTCGTGCGTGTTATGGAAATTATCTGTGCTTTATTTAATTAAAGTCTAATCAAGGTTTACTTGTTAATTACTAATCTGGCAGGGTTATATTCGGGATGCTGGTTGCGCTGCCCGTAACAGTTCTCTACTACGTGCTTTTGGGGCTCTGAGTTAATTGAAACGTATTCTGAAAATCAAAGAGAAAACCCTAATACATAGGAAAGAAAGGAGAAGAGGGAGAAGGCTAATATTCCAAGTCATGCTTAGGTGGATGGACCGTGCAATTGTCGCATTAATTACTTCATTAATTTAGAGATAGGATTAATTAATTTTGTATAATCAAGCACATGCATGTACGCCACTCTCGCAACTTTTATTTCCCCTTTCCAAAAATTTTTGGGGATGTACGTAGTCATACCATTATTTATCGTTTATCGATTATTCGCCTTTAATTGATTATATTATTAATATTGGTATCATCATCATCGCATCAATCATAAATTTGATTAGATCGGGCGAAGTGTGAAAAATTATGTTTAGATTAGATCTAAGCTAATAATAATAATGCTTTCCGTACTCTTTACGGTCTATTTATACTTTAAAATATTCATTTTTTTAATCGAACATGCTTCCAAATTTTGCCTTTTTCTATTCCATTTGTTTTTTTTTTTTTGGTCCTTTTGTATACATTGATTTATGTATCTTCAGTTCATGGCATAGGAAAACGTTTTATTAGCCACGCTGCAAAGCATATCATTTTCTTATATATAATATCCCGGTCGATATGCACACTATATAAACTATGGATAGGAGAACATTGGGCGGATCCCATTCATTATCAAGGGGTCCTATAACCCGCTCTTTTGATAATTTTTTTTTTAAATTCTTTATAAATTTTGAATAAAAATTGTTATATATATTTGAAAAGATACGTTGACTGTAACGCGAAGACTCTCACGTGGGGTATCAAAACGAAGAGATGGCTTTGGGACTCGCTCTCTGGTGGTCGGATGTACATTGAACGATCGGCACATGAACACTATAGTTGTCCTGACAACTTCGTTAATTTCTCCGCGGGCGCACAAAAAAAAAAAAAAAGATAAACATTTACTCTTATTTAATGCTTACAAGAATCGTATATATATAGTTACAGATTTGTTTGTGCAGCGAGTAGGAGACACCGTCTGCTCAGTGACAGCCATCTCTGTCTCTTGTCTCTCTGGGCAACATATTATTATAATGGCTCGTTTGGTCTGTCCGAATCTTGGTTATAATATATATTTTGTAAATTCTGAATCTATCTTGGATGTTATAAATCTACGATATTCTCTTTATTTTATGTAGTTTCACTCCAAAGAAGCAAGATTTGGGATTTGATTAGACTATTCACATGAAAGAACGAACAGATGAAAAATAGATAATTTATCTGTATAGATTGAAGTATATACGTGAATCTGCCGAGTGTATATATACTATATACTACTCCTTTACGCGAGAATATACGGCGGTTCACATAGCTTAGTGTTCTTCTTTTTTTTTTTTTGGAAACAAAAACAAATATAGAGAAGAGATGGAGGTAGATTCATACACACAATAACCTGAACGATTTTCCATAGAAATAATTAAACAGGGCTAATCTGATATTATCAGTAACTTAAGGGTCGTACAAGTTGACGAATATCCAGTTCTTTGATGGACCAATGAGTGAGCCCATATTAAACGAGAATTCTATGTTCAAATCCATGGGCATTGGCTTAGGGAAAACACAATTAAACTGTTTCGGCTTCAAAAGTAATATTCCTTCCTATCCTATACAGATATAATGCGAAATTTTCTGTGATAAAAATGGATGCTGGAACAGATGACAAAACAAAAATAGGAAGACGAGAATTAACCGTAGACTCTTCTTGGTTCCGGAGAGTTTTGTCCATCGGGAAAATAATAACAACAAACAAAAAAGCAACTGCATAATGCCCCGAGCTTGGTAACTGGTTCATTGCAAAGTCCTGAAAACAAAAAAACACAGCACGTTTATATATGGGTTTTTTTTTTTCTGCATAGACTAACTAACAGGACTTCGTTTGCTGAATCAATCTCTACAGATACAGACAGCTTCGTATGCTGGGCACAGGTACTCGAGAGTCGAGACCCACGGCCTTTCGGGTATTCAGCCTTGTGGCACCCGAGATATGGGTATCCGGTCCCGCAGGTACCCACCAAGGCACGGGTATCCGACCACCAATGAATCTGAAGATGGGTGCGACAAGACCAAGAACCCGAACAACGGACCCGGGTTTGAGTTTTTCCTAATCACGCGTACCGGGTAGAAGTAAAATAACATTTATATATAATACGTAAGTCTATGTTTGTGTAAAATTATGAATATACCCCAAGAGTCAACGGTAATCAACAAAATTTCCAGGAATTCGGATACCCACAGATACTCGACCATGGTCACGGTATCCGGTTCTCGCAAAACCAAGAACGAGACAGTATCCCCAGAAAACCTATAGAGATGAGGCCGAGACCCGATACCCAAATATCTGGCTGCTACCCGAGCAGAGTCCACCCCTCATGGAAAGGGTATGCGTTATATTACTTGGCAGAGCAAAAAGGTATATAAGAGAAGGAAGGAAGAAGGAGAGAGAGAGAAGGTCTTACCTGTGAGAGGAGAAGAGGTAACATGTCCAATCTATTTGGTTGGACAAGAAGACATCAGGCTACTACGACTACAACTACTTCCCCTTTTGCTTGAGAGTGATCTTGTCCCCGAGACTAAGTGCAATCCCTTGTGTCTTGCTCCGTATCCTTATGTATCCGCTCAGCTTTCCATCCGTTTGTTTCTCCACACTCACGTTTACCAGTGCGTCCTCTCCAAACACGCTTTTAGCGTATAAGTTAGCAGAAAGGAACCCACACTCTCCTTCTAACCCAGATCTGTTAATTACCACATAAATAAACAAGGAAACGTTCAAAGGAAAGGGAGAGAGATTATTATTATTATCATTATTCAACATCGTAAGTAAAAATGGCTCTTACGTTGCAGTTAGGCATTTCATGTTTGTTGATTTGATAATGTGATCCAGAAACTCTTTCTCCTCTTCAATACTTGTGTTTACAGCCACCTGTTACAGTAAAAACAAAAGGGCAATTAATGAAGTAGCCCCCCAAGTTTTATTGCAAGATAGAGAGCTTGTGAATCCTACAAATGGTCAAAAAGAGGACTTTTCTATCAAATATAACACTGCATTTCAGCAGAATCCAAAAATGCTCATGCTCATATATGTAAAATTATAGAAAGTGTAAAGCAAGGAGTGACCCATCTTTAAGATCACATCCAATAGAATAGAGAGACCTAACAAAACTGAGGGGAAATGTAAAAAACAAAAGAAAATTTACCTTGTTTTCCCATTCAAACTCAGCCCACATGGCCCTGAAGGCAGCATCCGAACAAACAGCAGGAGAGATATAGTCCATGATATCAATGTGTATGTCATTAAGGACCACAACTGTTCGTTCCATGACATTTGACGTCTCGTACACAATATTCCCAAATATAACCCCCGTCTCAGTCGACGACACCTTGATGTTCGCTTTTATCTGCTTACTCGTTTCGGGTGCCAGCGTGTAATTCTGAGGACGTTCCACGAGCTTCAAATCACCCATGGTGGCCAACTCCAAGCACAGATTCTGTAGGGTTTCTTTAGTTCGGTTTATAATCGTGACATCAAGGACGATGTCATAGTGATGGACAGTCACATATGCCTCAGCGTAAACCGGGTCGCTGAACCCTGTGAGTTGAAGGATTCGATTGAGCTTGTTCGCATCGTTCTCATCCCTGGTGAACTCTCCAGTGGCTCGTTTTAGGTCGTCTTGTACTTGGTCTTCCAACTCGAGTTGGCTCATACCCTGAAAAGAAACTCATCCATAAGTTTTTTGCTAAGGTAGACCAAAAGAAATACACATCTGTACAGTAATATAGAGGTCTGTATTGGCAGCCAAAAAGAAAAGAAAAACATTAAGGGTGAAGCTGGGGAAACAGGAAAACTACAGAAATTTGTTGTAATATCAGATCTGATCAACCGAAAAAAAAAAAAAGATTTAGGTTAGAGCTTATAGGCCTATGATAGCTTTTAGAGGGGCGATTTCGGCCAATTGAGGAGAGAATTTGGTAACATGGATTGGGTTGTTATATATATATATATATATATAAGATGAACAAATATTGGGATTTGGTTACCTTTCGGCTTTTCAGATGGAAGAAGTCAATGAGATCATCAGGTTGAGCATGAGTTACTTGGGACTGCGCCTTAAGTTCCTCCAATTCTCGTTGCTGTTTCTCAGATAGCATTTTGACAAAACTCTGGCGGCAGGATTCGAGCCATATCTTCTTAATCTCATCACCCCTATGGCATAGCAGTTTTATGCATAGCACAATCCTCTCGTAAGAGTCATTATCAATAGGATGAGGAACCGCAGGAGACTGCCCTAATTGCAGCATGGAGACCATGATCAGCAAAGCTTGTGTTGTCACCTTGTTCACTTCGGTTTTGGATGGCTGCACCTCCTCCAACCTAAGAACAAGCTTTGCCAATGTGCAAGCAACCACAGCTCCCAGGAAAAAGTCACCGGATAAGATCAGAGGTCTCAAGTTCCCAGAAGCAGATGAACCCTGAAGAACAGAAGATGGGGAGAAAACGGTTTCGGAGGCAGCACTTTGGGTAGCGTAAGTTCCATCGGCAAGAATGGCAGGTCTTCTAGAGGAGGCTGTAGCAACGGACTTCTGCTGCCTCTTGTTTGAGGAGTCGGTCGATTCCGCTTCCTCAGAAACAGAGTAAAACGGCATCTCGCCCAGGCCCTGCTTTATGGCCGTTATGCCGCTTTCAACTTCAGAAAGTGATAAGCAAAACTCCCCAATAATCCATAGTGCACAGGGGAAAACCTTTGCACCACGAATCTGATAGAATGCATCCAGCAATCGGGTTATGATCGAAACTCTTAATTTGGGGTTTGTTTCGATTATCTCTCTAACAAAAACAGCCACGTCAAGGGCTGAAGCCACATTGCTGTCCCCCAAGAAATCCATCAAAAGATGGACCACAGTGCTCGCAACTTCAGGGAACTTGACCGCACAAGCATGAATGGCTTGAATGAGCATCTGTCTATACTCTCCGTTCTTCTCGAGCTCTCCACTTTGTGTCTTCATAACTTCTTTCTTCAGTGTTTGGACGACCTCATTGACATTCCGATTAGTAACCAGTTCAAGAACAATATCAAGTGTCTTCCTCCGGATGTCAAGATTAGGGCTAGAGAGTGCTCTGAGCACATCCATGATCAACTCAACCATGATATCCCTATGGGACGACTTAAGCTCATTCAACCTATCGAGCACGATAAGTTTCACATTGTTGTCGCTCTGAGAAAGAAGAAGCTGGCAGTAGGTGTTAGCGGCAGCTCTGACAGCGGTAGGAGCAGATGACAGAGAAACAAGTGTCCCAGCACATTCATAAATAACTGCAGCTGAAGGGGCACTTAACAGAGCAATGATGATCTTAATATACTTCCCCTTTTCTGCAGGATTATTCCTACACACCTTTCGGATCAGTTCCAGAACCACCATCTGGAGCATTTCATTCCACTCAGAAACCCTGTCAACGTTAGTTAGAAGATAATTAACAGCTTGGCCTTGAGCACAGTTAAAGAGCATAAGGAATGCATTTCGCTTGGCCGAGGGATCTTGTTCCGTAGACAAAACTTTCTCAATCATTTCAGGTGCATCTACCAGGAGCTGTTCGCCTTGAGGAAGCTTATATATCGACATAATAGCCAGAATTGCATTCCTACGGACAAATGGATGGCGATGCTCCAGATTTTGTAACACGGATGGAATCAACGGCTCTATTATTTCAGTCTCATTCAACCGGCAGAGGAATCTCAACGTTACTCCACGGATATACTCGTTTGGATGCTGAAGGTTGTTCCTCAGGTTCTGACATATCAAAATCATTTCAGGCAGCACCTTCCCTTTAGCATCAGTTTTATCGATTATTTCCAGGTATAGCAGCAGTAGCTTCTGGATTGTGTGGTCTTCGGAAGGCAGCACATATCTAATAATAGTGATAAAAAGCTGAGGAAGGGTTTCGCCATTCAACAAAAGCATAATCGCCTTCTTCAAGGCATCGATCTTTGCAGGCAGATCATTCCCTTCGAGGGCTTCTTTGATCTCATTTGCAACTGCTGGAGCTCCTTTTTCATAGTGAATGAGCAAAGTACATGATTTCTCCATCTTTTCCTGTTTTGCGCAAGAGGTGAAGGAACACCCAAAGAAAGGATTCAATCAAAACAAATGAAAATCCAAATCATGCAAATTAAAGCCAAACAACGCAGCAAAGGAAAATGACAGAAAGACAAAAATACGAACTCTCACATCCTCCTATTTAATTATTGCCATGATGAAGCACAGATCTTAAGGGAATGACCGAAATATGCATAAAACAGAGTAAAAATCTCTAGTGTTCCATGTCCGAGTTGGCGAGTAAAGGAAGTTCAAGAGATTCATCACTATCTCCCATCCTCAATTTCTACGTCCCAACCTCAATTTTAAACCAATGAATAGGAAATGTATTCGGCATACATATCACATCATGATTCAATTCCCGAGACTGGAAAGGATGTCGGTAGATTTCCAGATCCAGATCCGATCCGCGAAAAAAACTACAAAATTACATCAAATCCAGCGAAACAGCAGAAATTCGGCAGGGACCAGAGAAACCGAGCTCCGGTTCCCAGACAACGGTTTCCATGCTAGAAACCGCCGATGTACAAGCCGGAGAACTACCAGACAGTCCTAAAACACCGATCTACAAAGACAAGTCGCGGGCGAAGCCGGAAAACGGTAAACCAACCGGAACCGAGGGCTCGATCTCTGAGAAATCGTCGACGGGGGTAATAGGAAATACTAAGAGAAGAACGAAGACTTACCGGCGACGGAGAGAGAAAGTTGATACGTGTCTTCTTCGTCGCCCGTCGGATTCACAGATTTGGATCTCGGGGGAAACGATCCTGCCACTGAAATGTTAAAACTGTAGTTGATTCATCTTATATTTCCAGCAGAAACTTTTCTTTTCTTTTATTTATTTATTACAGTAATTTAATTTTAAAATTCTTACATTAATAATTTCTCTCAGATCCGTACTATTTTCAACGAACATTTGGGCCTTGAATGGATCCCACATTTTTCTCAATCCAGCCCATTTATGTTCTATTCATTCAGCCTATGGCCCAATGGCCCAAGACGTTCCTTTTTTTTTTTTTTGGAAAAAACGTTTACGGGTTCGGGAATTTAGTTTAAAACCGAATCCAATTAGATCAAAACCAAACCAAAAATATTTTATTCAAATTTATATCTTATTGATATCCAACTTAACCCGGTAAATACCTAACCAACCAAACTATACGATGTGTACATTAATATCAATTGTTATCAAAATTTGATTCTTATTTAGTACTAAGAACAATATCATTAAGAACCGAACCAACACGATAGAATCGAACCGATTAATATTTGATTTTATACAATTTTTATAAAACTGAATAAATCATTTCGGAACCTGAAATCTGAAACGCACATCCCTAATTATCAAAAATTGAAAACTAATTGAAATAATATTATTATAGTTACAATAAATTCTGAAGGCAATCGATCAAACGGTGTATCCATTGAATGGTGAAAGAGAATGTGGAATGAATAAACATTACAACAGTTCCCAAAAACAAGGGGGGGGTCAGAATTTGAGAAGCTAGACAGCTTCAGACACGTGAGTGTCAAGTTTTTCTTCCATGATGTTGTGGTCACGGACCAGTCTGGTTTTGTTGGGCAAAGACGAAGCAGCAGCTTTCTGAGGGGAGCTCTTCATCAGCGTTTGAGAACGCAGATTCAGGTAGGTGTAAAACGACATGCCCGCAATCGCTACAAATGCACCGCAAACGCTGATCGCTCCCGGGTTCGACCCGAATATGTAGTAGTTCCCGAGCAGGACAACGCAGGTTTTGAACTGCCCCAACACCACGTGCGAGATGGCCGAGGTTGCCCTGATGAACAACAAGACAGGACCAAGACAAAGATACTGAGTTATCTCAAAAAGCATGTGTTTTATATAACCGGGAATATAAATATATATAACTGACTTACCCGAGAGCCAGAGCACCAGACCACTGAAGCAAGAATCCGAGAAGAGCAGACATGAGAATGGCCATTGTGTTATTGAAGTTCCAGTTGAAGGACAGAGCGCCTGGTGGGTCCAAGAATGGAATCATCGAAACAAGAAACAACAAAGTGATTGGAGTTGTCTTCCACATCAACCTGTCCAAGAAAAACAGTACTCCGATATGATATATATATATATATAGAGAGAGAGAGAAAGAGAGCGGAGAATGAAATCATCGGGTCAAAAAGGTTAAGTGCGGGAATCAACGAATCTAAAAAACGTACGCCAAAGCGGTCCAGTTTTCTCGCTGTTGGAGAGTGGACCAGAGGATTTTGTTGGAAGCGCTTGGTAGAATCCAAGCCAAAGCAACACAGGCACCAAAGAGACTGAACTGTAAGTCTGTCACTGTTGCAACTGCAACTCCTATGGATACAACTGTAAGGGCAACCACCTGAAGAAGGATGATCATTGTTGGTTCAGCGAGGAATTAATTATGTGTTTAATCTTACAAATAATGAGAGATTATAAGATTAATTGTGGATTCAGTGAGTTATTTGTCTGCTGGAACAAAGAGGGTGTTTTAGTTTACCTTCAAGAAGGAAACTTTCTTTCTGAACCACAAGAATTCTGCCAAAACAATAGATGGAGTGACTGCAATCTTTGCCATCTGGTAGAATCCAACACTGGTGGAGACAAAAAAAGAACAAATCTAACAATCAGACAAACAGACCAGACAATCAGATTACCACTAGCGTGGCATTGTCCCATGGACCAGAATATACAAACCTGTTATACTTGAGGCTGACATTGGCAAGACCAGTTGAAAGGGACATTACGATGCCGAGTGTATATAGTGATAGGGAGGACGATTTTGAGGCGGGAGAAGCGGGAAGGAGAGAAAGGGAATTCAAAACCGCCATAAGCAAATACGCCACTATGTAGTGAATGAACGTAAGGAACACGGGAAACTGAAAGCCCACGTTTTTAAGAACCTGAAGAAAGAAAAACACAGCAGAAGAGAGTTAGCAAACAGCACAGAAGAAATCCGAATTCCAAGTTGCAGCTCACAGAGAGTTAGTGAAAGTTAAAGAGTACCCATTTGTTCATGAAGATAATGGCAATGGCAATGACGAAATTGAACGTGAGAGCAACAGTAGGGCCACAGGTACGTTGCTGCTGCCTCTTCGCTGTGTCGGAGGAACGGAATTTGTTGAACAAGGATGCCCGTAAATCCTCGAGTGCCCTTCCTGGATCGGATCATAAGCTCCACCATTATTTAATGAAGAGAAGTTTCATAATTTAACAAGTTCAACGCTTCGATGTTTTATTCCTTTCTATCCACTTGCTCTGATCAAGATCCGGACAACGTCAAACTTAATAAACGAATCCAACATCACTAGAACCACATTGAAAAATCCCAGAATCTCAACAGACAAGAACACTTGGCCTATAGACCCGAAAAAGGATTTAACACTATGGTTGCTACTATTCAGCACCGGATTTCTCAACATGCATGTCAACAACCAGACCAGAAACAATAGCTCGACACAGAAACTGTAAAATCTAGACCGAAATCAACGAAATTGACGGACCACAAGTTAGGGTTTGCGCGCAAATCGAAACCCGAATTTGGATCAGCGGATCAGTGAGACTGGAAAATCTTAAACAGAACGGGATATTCGAATTTGTCTCAATGCCGACGAAAATCGACCGAGGTAACACACAAATAACCCAGAGAAGTAACGACATTTCACGATACCTCGCTCTCCAGCGTCGCTGTCCTTGCGCTTGAGAATCTTCCTCACATCTTTTCGCAGCAGAAAACTAAACATCTTAGGACTCAGTAACATTCCCCTCTTCCGTCCGTCTCCTTACAAGCTAGTCGCAGATTCGGACACAAGGAACCATGGCGCGAACACAAATGGCGGCGGAGCAAAAACCCCAAAGCCAGTCCGTTAAAATCGTACCCTGAGTTCAAATTTCACGGGGGAGAAAACTCCGAAAAAGGGGAAAATCGAGGGGGGAGGGGGGAAGATGACAGGGACCAGAAGAGACGAAGAGAAGGAGACAAGAGAGAAGAACACGTGGCGCTGATAACGGGGAGATTGAGGTTTGAGTTGAACGTTGTCTGATAGAGGAAATCACGGTTCAACACCGACCACTGAAAAGGCAGTGACTGTGTGTGTGCGCTTTTTGTTGCGCCGGCTTTTCCCAAAAAATTTTATATATAAAAAAACAAACATCAATGGATGGGTCCCATTTGACCCCTTTTTGGGCCTTAAATCGGTGTAAAAGTTTCATCCCCAAAATGGGCCAAGAAACTAGCTCATTTACTTTAATGGGCCTCAATTTGATCAATCGTGTCAATAGGCTTCCGTCATTGGAGTTTTTTTTTACTTCGATTTGCTAATTGGCCATCTAGGAGGCAAATGACACCGACCGTCTTAATGAAAAAAAAAAAGCATAGAAAAACCATGACGAACCAAAACAAAACATCCAAACATTTGCTTCAGCCCGCGTATATATTAATCTTCTCACAAATGGAAACAAACCACGTATATTTGCCCATCAAACAAAACGTGTAAAAAAAGGTTGATAAAAAGAGCAAAACAAACAGGTATTGTATGATGTATATTCTTCTCCCAAATACGTGTATGAATGGAAATCGTCCAACGAGTTGTAGAGTAAATCACACCCAAGGCCACACACGACCATATTTCCACTTCACTTCCCTCCGCCCCCCACCCACAAACTCAAAAAAATTTGCAACTCTTTAAGTTTTGTCGTGTAAGAAAATATATGAACCGATGCCCAGCAAACGAACTAAAGGTAGATACTCACCAATGTACGACCTTGAAAAGTATACGAGAAAAAAGAAAGAGAAGAATCCGCTAAGTAACCCTTTAGGTCAGAAGTTAGGAAAGATGGTGTCTGCCTTATAGTTGATATCCGGGAAGTCGTTCGTAATGGACAGTTCTCAACGAGTGGACAATGAACCTGGAACAAGACAGAATCGTTAAACACCAAAAACCGGTCCATATATATATACATATAAAACAACAAAGCGGTCAAAAGACTCTTACTGTCGGAAGAAGCTCTTTTCTTGGGCCTAAATGTACGAGCGAGTACTCGGTTGAAAGGTGTTTTGGGAACAGGGATGAACTTCCCTATTAAAGCAAGCGGCCAACTGGTCCAAGCCAAAAAAAAAAGGAGAGAGAGATAAAGATTTGATGTTTTAGTTCTGAAAGTCCGGCCTGACCGAAGGGGAGAAAAAAAGTAAAAGGAAAGGAAAGAAAGAAAACCTGATAAAGCCGATGGCGACACAGATCAGCCACTGCTTCCAGTTGAGTGGAGTCGTGGAAGCAAACTTGCCAAGGAACTCCACTATGATCACCTGGGTTGTATCATACAAGTATTGAATGCGTGACGATGATCTTGTGAAGGAAAATAATTTGGAGGGTTGTGAGTTATATATATATATTATGATGACGTACCTGAAGAACAAGAGTTATGGCTATAATTCCGATGAATAAGCGGTTTTTAATGACACCTCTGAAGATATTCTTCTCGTCTGGTTTCCTGGCGTTGAATTCATTAAAGACCTGGCAAGGGTACGACACGAGATTGATTATAATTAAGGCCGAAAGAAACTCCTCGTAATGTTTGATAGTGGTACGAAGATCGGTGTAAATCTCACTTGGCAGAGGACAAAAGCGTTGAAGATTAGGGTATTCTTCACTTTGGTAGCATGAGCGGGATCTTCATGCTCCAGATGCAGCAAGCCCTTTCCTCGGAAATTTATAACCAATAGTACGCTCACTTGATATGCAGCCTGTATAATAATTTTGCCATTTACACGAGTCACGAAATAGTGTTGTGTATATATATAGAGAGAGACTATCGATTTTTACCTGAATGAGCAAGTTTCTCCACATGATATTGGTGATGAGAGGCTCTCTGCACCAAACAAATAGCAAGTTAACCGGCTATATATGCATACATACATATATACATATGTATGCGTGAGTGTGTGTCTATTAAATTATAACCATATCCGTCAAAATATTAAGATGGATCAAAGTCTTTGAAAAAACAGGAAGAAGAAGAAGAAAGATTTGGATTTTGAGAGGATACCTTCTTCCGACAGGGGGCCTATGCATGAGGTGATCAGTTGGGGGTTCAGTGGCCAAGGCCAATGCTCCAAGAGTGTCCATTATGAGATTAACCCACAGCAACTGTAACATTACAACATGACACAGCTTCTTCTTTATATTTTATTCTTTTCTATTTTCAGTTTGTAATGAAATTTGACAGAGAAGGATGTGCGACCTGCACAGCGTTGAGTGGGACATCGCCACTTGAAACTGCAGCTACCACGTTAATGATGAGAGCTGCTACATTGACCGTTAGCTGAAATTGTATGAATTTCTGAATGTTCGCATAGACCGACCGACCCCACCTTACAACCTATATATATTCAAATAATGGATATCAGAAGGAAGAATCGGGGATGAAACATATTCCAGAAAGAAAGAGGCCAGCCCAAAGAGTTTGACAAACCTTAACAACTGAAGCGAAGTTGTCATCTAAGATAATGATATCTGAGCTCTCCTTCGCCACTTCTGTTCCTTGGATTCCCATAGCAAGCCCAATATCAGCCTGACATTCATTCACCAGTAAGAAAAATCAACCCAAATACATGAAGGAAAAAAAAAGACAAGACACCGGTTCTAAGGGTAGGCAATATTGTTCAGAATACAACTTCCATGTATGGATTTCATCCGATTCCTCTTACCACTAGAAAAGTTGGAGTGGGGTTGAAAGAAAATAGTTTATCAGAATTTACAAGAGGTGAAGTAGTTGATAAGTCAGAAGAATATTCACACCTCATGTAGTGCAGGCGCATCGTTTGTCCCGTCTCCAGTTACCGCAACGACGTGGCCACGCCTTTTCAGTGCTTGGACAAGCAGGAGTTTGTCATTGGGTGATGACCTACCCATAACCTTCACACCCACATCAATCATTTAATTTTCCATTACAGTATTTATGTATTCAACCGTTTAAATCGAGGTCTGAAAGTATAGCATCAGCAATCATACCGATATCTTGCTAGCTATCTTTTCTCTCTCTTCATCTGACAAGGAGCGGAAAGTTTTTCCTTCGATGAGATTAGGCTCGGTGGCGTCAGCATCAGAGGTTAATATTCCGCACTCCATTGCAATAGCTTTAGCAGTTTGGAGGTTGTCACCAGTTACCATTCGGACCTGAAAAAGCACACATTGCGTTGCTGTAAGATTGACCGACCAGTATACAACAGAAAGAAACATCCTAAAATGGAAATAAGAGATGGGACAAACGACCCTTGAAATCAAATTGTTGTATTGTGTTTCGTTCAACAAAGTAAATGAGGTTACCTTCACACCAGCATTTTGGCACAATTGAACTGAATCTCTGACTCCCGGTCTACAAGGATCCTGAGCATACAAAAATCTCCAATAAGACATTCTATTGAGAATCTTGCAGCAGACATGTGGGTGAGTCTGGTAAGAAAAGTGTCCACATTTATGAACTCATGATCGAAACTGATGAGGATTCGAACAATTTCAAAAGGAAACCCACATACTTCCACGGGACTTTTTTTTTTTTGAACTAGCCGAAGCTAGAGAGAAAATAAAGCAACAATTTAATCTTTACTAGTGTCCATATGAAACAAAAGCTGTAGAAATAAAGCATTCGCTGTAATTATTTTTTTTTAACCTTTATACCGACGATAGCAAGCAAACAAAGGTCATCCTCTGGGAGAACCCACTTTGAGAGTTCTTCTTCGCTCGTTGGGACTTTTTCAACCTCGTAGGTTCTGTAGGCCAATGCTACACATCGTAGAGTTCTAGCAGCCATGTCTTCTATAGCATTCTTAAAATATGAAACCTGGAAACAGATATATAAACAGATAGATTTATCAGACATCAGATACTATATGTTTCTTAAAATAAGAAACCTGAAAGTACACATCCATTTCTAACTGGACTACACTGTTTGATACACATCTGCAGCAAAAGTGTACTGAAAAAGAACAATATATGAAAGTTTCTGATCGGTGTCCTGAACCTTATGAAACCACAAAATGTTAGTTTCTTACAAACCTTGTCTTCAGTCATTTCTGTCACATTACCACCTTCATCCATGTAGCTTTTGCATGAAGCCAGAACAATTTCAGAAGCTCCTTTCCAATGAATATGAACTTGGCCATCAGGCTGAAAAAAAAACGAAATGAAGAGAAATAGATAAAAACTGAGTAAATAATCCAATGAGAGAAAAAAAAAGTAGCGAAATTAAAACCCTTGTCATCTTAAACACACATGATTCATCTTTTAGCAAAGATTAAAGGAATATATATTACCAGTTTCACAGCAACACCGCCTCGTTTTTTCTCCGAGTTAAAAGGAAAAACATGGAGAATTGAAGACTGCGACCTCACAGCATCAAAATCCATTCCCAACTGATCAATAGATAAACAATGAGAGATTTAGCCATCAATTTTTATGTAATATACCTCCATTTAGTTAGTAAACAAATATGATCAGAGAGCATTACCTTAATTCCCCAACCGAGGATGGCTTTTTCTGTTGGCGAACCAGAGAGTTCAACATTGCCACCACTCTGAAATCAAATAAAACCCCATGAGTCTTTCCAAACATGCACTAAAAAATGGAAACTTTTTATAAGAAAAAGTCGAATACTGAAGGTGTCAAAGACAAAACAAGAAGCTTACTTCTGGCACATAAACACCACCAGTTGTGTTTTGAGCTACTCCTTCAACAAGCAATGAATTAAGCTCTGGTGGCAACTGTGAGCTGTCGTCAGGAGTATCCATTTTGTCCCCCCCAGCATAAGCCTCAACCACTGTCATCTGTTTAAAAATCCAAATAAAAATCACAAAGAAACGGTTAATATTTCATCGTGATTAAACCGAAACCACATAGAAACAATATTTCTTAACCAACACACCTGATTTAAAGTCAAAGTTCCAGTTTTATCACTGCAAATAGTGGTGGCAGAACCCATCGTCTCACACGCTGAAAGCCTTCGCACCTGCAAATCAATTTTTTGTGATCATAATTATATGTATAATCCGATATTTCTGCTCTCGCGCAAAACAAGAGGACGAGATGGAAAATCAAGCGTACCAATGCCTTATCCACCATCATTTTCCTCATTGAATAAGCAAGACTGCATCAAAAAGAACAGCAAAAACAAAACATATATGGATCTGTCATATATCTTGTGGACTACCATTACTGTGAAAGAAAACAAAAGCTAGCTTACGTTAAAGTAACAGCTAGTGGAAGTCCCTCAGGCACTGCTACTACCACAATTGTAACCTGCAGAGCATTCAAACGGTAGCCATTTTCAAGACGAGACGATCAAAGAGCTTTGTCAGTTTACACCTCATCACACTAAGATAGTTCGCTAAGAAACATACCGCTACAGTTACAATCTTGATTACGTCATCAACCACATGACCAGGTTTTGTCTTCCCTTTGACAAATTGAGGATTACCTTTAATATCTTCAGTGTGGCCAGTGAAATACCTGGACAAATCAAGGAGCGTTACAAAGAAAACTTACAATATGTGTTTTTTTTTTAAGAAATTTACGTTTAATGTTAGAACATACCGGATCAGAAGTACCAACAAGACGGCAAGAGCAACCGACAGACCAACAATACCAATAAAAGTTGCCACCCCATTAAGGCGAACCTGATTAAAACCAGTTGAAGGTTATATAAGTCAGGGCTAATGCATTGTATAGATGATGATATTAAATATTTTCCTACCTGCAACGGAGTTTCTTCACCATTGTCTTCTGAAATACTGGCCATAAGCAATCCCCATTCGGTGTTAATACCAACAGCCGTGACCTTGCAGAAAAGGAAAAGACTGATTAACAATCTTGATATGATTATAGCCTATTTAGCATCTGATTAGACGTCAGTAATCTTTTTGTTTCACTGTTTTCCATAATAAGCACCATTTTGTGCATGAAAACCAAATAATTAAGCGAACAATAACAAGCAGGAAAAGAATGAAATGCATGTCCTACCAACATAATACCATTGCCATCTGCCACTTTACAGCCAGACATTAGGAAGGGGTCCTTGTTAGTATTTTTTGGAACCTGACAAGAAAAGATTTGTTAATCAAATCACAATGCAGATAGCAGTCAGATCAACTTCATTATCGTTGGAAACAAAGACGCACAATTTTACTCTCTCCAGTCATGCTGGACTCATCGAGCGCAAGCGAGTGGCCAGTTATTAATACCCCATCCGCTGGTACCTACACATATTTTTCAGACACCAAATCTATGTTAAAGATTAAACTAATCATACCAAGAAACAGACAAGCAAGGGAGAAGAGTCACTTGCCTGATTACCAATGTTGAGGGGTACGATATCACCCACCACGATGTCATATATTGAAATTTCAACTCGTCTTCCACCTCTTATCACCTGTGAATAACCTCACTTCAGCAAGCGAGAACAAAAAGAAAAAACATATGCAGATTAAAGGAATAGTAAAACACTGCAAGAACAGACCTCCAGATGTATGTTTCTCTTTTCCTCGTTCAGGTTTTGGAACTGGAGAGACTGTTTGTAGTCACTGATAGCTGCAAAAGAGATTAAAAAACATGCAGATGTGTTCATAAATGCTACTCAAAACCATACCATACATATTGTCATGCAAAGGTCTTATTGTTGACATATGAGGAACATGGTAAACATACCTGTCACAATGACAACAAGGATAACTGCAAAGGCAATGCTGCCTCCATCATACCATCCTTCTTTGATTCCCTATACACAGCAAACAGTAAGAAGTAAATACCGTTAGTGCCAAAGATTGCAAATTCTACAGAAAAGCTAAAGAGGAAGAATATATTTCATGGATGTCACTGTCAATAAATAGCAATTTGATCGGTTATCTTCTGACACGAACCTCTGTTTTAATCCCGAGTACTAAAGAAGCTACAGCTGCGACCATCAAAATTATTAAAGTGAGATCTTGGAAAGCTTCCCAGAGAAATCTCTGTCACACAAAATGAGAATCAAAAGGTTCATCAGAAAAAATGAGCATGAAAAGCAGAACTTAAAAGCCCGACAGAATTGATAAGAAGTTCATCTTTGCATACCAGAAACCCTTTTCCTTTCTTGCGGGGATAGGTGTTTGACCCAAAGGTGTTCTTGCGATTGAGCAAGTCACCATCATCACCATGGATACCTCTCTCTATGTTTGTCTTCAACAAATTCGACAAGCCTCGAACCTATTACAAATGCAAACCGGATGAGACTCAGTGGACAAGGACAACGAAGAGAGCCAACCCAAAGGACAAATTCAAGATTGAAAACTTGCCCCTCCATTTTGTTGCAAGGCAGCTATGTTGTGATCCTTTGACATTAATACAAGTTGTTCTGGTCCAATTCCAAAATCACCAGCAGGGATTGCAGGAGCTGTTTGTTTTCCGCCTGGACAGAAGGAAAATGAGCTCAAATAGAGGGCCTTAACACAATATTTTTAACCAAATCTGTGCTTAAAAACCGAAGCATTATACTTCAAAATTAATTGTAAACATCAAGATTACCCTCCGGTCGGCCCCCCATGTCTATGAAACGATTTGCAGCCTAACAACAAAAGAAACGAGACAGATCAGGGAAACCAAACCGCATCACAGTTCAGACGTGACCATTGGTCAAAATGTGCAACAAAATGTAAAGTTTACCAGAAGAGCTTGAGCATGAGATCTGATCTTGCTTCTCATCTCTCTCTTTTCTTCCTCCTTTTTCAAGTTCAAGGTGTACCTGAATCTCCGGGAGGCATTCAGCACGAACACAGCTTTCTACGAATGGCAAACACCGTTGTTGGTCCAATCATTAAGACAAAAGCATATGAAAATAAACCATAAGAAATCAAGAACCAAACAAAACATAAACCCTGTGATCCTCAACTCACATCTCCTCCACATAACTGCTAAATGAGAAAGAATCGAGAGAAAGAGTAATAGTGTACAGAGTCACGGACTCTTTAGCTTGACACGCATAGAAAACCATGCATTAATCTCACGTCGATTAAAAGGAAAAGAGGTCTAATGTCCTAATTAAGAATACTAATTAATTCTAACCTAATTATTGCTAATGCAAGCCACTGAGAAACGGTCCACTATAATTTATGGATGCAGGTAATAGCCTTATAAAATATCATTATATTCAATATAGATGAACATATACACAAATACACACACTTGTCTGCATGTGTTTTCAGTGGCATACAAAGTAAAATTACGAAGGTAGATGCACAACTACGGTGGTGTATGTGTAATTTAGAAGGTTAAGGAATAAGCATTACCCTCCACTGACGCAGACGCTCGATAGAAGCATTCTTCGGTGGGATTTCGAATGGGTCCAAATCGGAGTCGCCGGAGCCACCGGCCCCGGACTCCAAGTCGCTTCTCCGGCGCCGGCAAGGGGATGTCTTGAAGATGTTCGCCATTGTTGTCTCAGGAGAGAAGGCACAGAAGCCAATGATTCGAGGCTCACTTAAATCGTTCACCACTTCAATAATCTGCAGAGGAAACAAAAGCTTGCTGTTGCGCCGGCTACAATACTTACCGATGAACTCAATCGAATCAATCAGATTTACAGAAATTGAAGCAAATACCAAAACACCAAACACAGCAAGAGATTTACGTGTTCGGACTAATTGAATCGATCCTACTCGCGACCAATATCGTATGATCTTTGATGATTCACTAGAACTCGAAGAAGATTGACACGAATAGCAGATTCCATTCTCTAAGAACCCAGAACCGAAAACAGCAGCAGAAGAAGAAGAAGAAGAAGAAAGCAGAATGTGGTACTTTTAAAACATCCCGCCCTTTTTAAAACCCCTGACTCCGGTTTAGGCTAATTACATGTTTTCCCTCGGTTTAGTAATTCGACCCCGGTTTGATCCAAATATACCCATCTCCGAACCCTCTTCCTGGGCTAGAGTATTGCCCTGTTTTTTTATTCTTCCTAGCTTTAAGCCCCAACATTCGTGTATAAGGAAATACTAAGATTGATTTTGTTTTCGCTTTCGGAAACCAAGTGAAATCGAAAGCAGAAAACGAATTTTCTCTCCATAGAAAAAGTTTCTTCTCTCTGGAAATTTTCTTGGATACTCTCTTCCCCCGCTTCCTAAGCAACATGAGAACATGACAGAGCAAAAAACACCGACCGACCACGCCGCTCCTGTTTCGAAGATCTCTGTCCGAGAAACTAGACATCATTGCTAAGCCACAGAAATTTTCTCAGAGTTTCTTCTACTTTCCGCCTCACCAACTATGCCATGGAAACGCGAGGAACAAGCAACTCCCATACTTTAATTCAGTAGTCAGATCAACTAAGACATATAAAAGCATTCAAGACATAACAAAGAGACAAAGGAGGAGAAGGAGACGAACAGATCTAAATCACAAACCACGCAGTTCTTCTTCAGACGGTTTGTCAAAACTTTCTGGAAAGACCAGCAATCGTCGCTAATCAAAACAGCGTCACGGATCAGTTTTCTAGTGTTTCTTCCACTTCACTCCACGTGTCCCTCCCTACCAACTACTTCGTGAGAGATGGAAGAAAATTCGCCAGAAAGAGAGTCTCTCCCACCATGAAAACGACCTTGGAAACTTTCTTAGTCAAAACGTTTTCAAAAGCAAGTAAGACCGGAGTCTTCTAGATAAGAAGAACAAGGAGGAGGAGACAAGACGAACCGACCAACAGACAGAACACCATATAAACAAACAGCGATTAAGGTTTTTATAGAAGAAAACCCATCGAAACTCGTTCTATGGCCGGTGAACAAACTTCGAGGAACAAATAAAAAAAGAGCAAAAAAGAAAAGAAAAAAAAGCCTTCGTACATCACTGAAATCGCCGGCGAACTTACCGGTTATCTGCGTCGCCGTGTTCTTCTTTCCCGGCCAGGAAAAAGCAACTTTGGAGAGAGAAGATCTGGGACAGGAACAAATCGATGCAACAGTGATGTTATGGCCAAAATATAAACCGGCACATGTATGTAGATATACGTTATATATACACATGTAGAGAGAGAATAAGATTAGTTAAAATCATGGATGTAGTGGCATTGACAAGTAACGGACACTTTTGCCTTTACTTGATACGTAAGCAACGTGTCACGGCTGTGGTAATTCCCTCATTTTTCCCTCTTGGTAAATATCTTTTTTATGGCATCGTAATGGGTAAATCCTACGTGTGTCAATTGTGGCCCGAGATCCGAAACCGATCCAATCTAATCTAAAAAATAGTGGGTTTTGGATTGAGGCTTGAAAATTTTCAGGTTTTTAAGTCGGGTTCGATTCGAGTATCAAACTCGATTCGAGTCAGTCCGATTTTTTTTTTTTAAACTTAAGAAAAAAAGAAACAAACATATTAACAAAGAAAATCGTGCGGAGTACATCCAACCCGACCCGATTCAAATCTGAGATTTATAGGATTGAATTTCAGACTCAATGATATAAACCAAAAAAAAATCGGACCGATCTGAACCTAAACTCGAAATCTTCGGACCTGATTGACATCCCTAATCTCCATTTTGTTATTTTTTTTTCACTTTTTCAATTTATCAAATTTAATAACCTAAATAGCGGTGATTCAGATTTAATATCCGCCTATAAAGGAGGGCGATTCGTCCGCCACGTGTAAACCGGTGATTCAGATTTAATTTCTCAAACAAACCGGTTACGTTTTTTTTTTTAAAAAAAATTATTCGTGGGTCTTTCCAAAGGAGAAAAAGATTGTTTTTTTTTTTAATGCTGTATAACGCGACGCGTATAAAGTTACGTACAGGCGAGCCCACGTATATAATATAAGGCGACTTGTAAAGTTAAGATTACGTATAACCTAAGAGACTCAAATGACATCTTCTCTGTTGCAAATCGTGTTTTGCCACAATAAAATATGCATAAATTACATCAAACTAAATGGACTACCCAACTTTATATATGTAATAATTCATTCCCAGCTGCATGGGCCGCCACTTGTATAGACAGCGAAGCTTGTTTTATGTTTTTTGGGTGACAAACCACAGCGAGGCTCGTATTGCTGACGTGTCAGACCGCGGTGGGAAAGGTGGTACACGTGTCCGCTGGTCGACTTCGTATCACACAACTTTCACATCGCTTATCTCATCAGTCATTGTTTATGTTTTATGAACGTCCTAGCGAACATTTTGGTTTATTCACCGAATGGTTGGACAATACTCGAATAAAAATGGTCATGATTTTTTTTTTTAATTCGAAAAAATGAAATCTGAATTGAATCAAAAGGAATAAAAAAATAATTGAAAAAGTAAAAAAAAATAAAATAAATTTTTTTACCAACAAAAAACTAAATCGGAATAAAATCTAATCAAATCTAATGATTATAATTTTTTAATAACCCAAATAATCAAATCCGAATAGAACCGAACCAAACAAAAAATAGTGACCCCCTAAGCGGACATAATGCAATGGCTCAACCAAGGTTTTTCAAATTTTGTAGAATACCACGTGTATAGTATTGATGATAGAATGAAATTGAATAGATTACATACCCTTTTAACAAAAATCATTAATTTGTATTCTAAATAGAGTAGATAAATCCAAACTGAATAGAAAACACAACATTATTTAAATTCTATAGAAAATGAAAATCTTTATTATTACCGACACAAAAGGCCGTTGCTTTGGAAAATAAACTATATCCAATAAAGAAAATAACGAGTAAAATGTCGGACACAATCGAATGTCGCGTGATGGATGAGAGACATGTGATCCGAACCGTGTCCTGTAGTTTTTTAGACTTCTGGTTGGATTCTGGCCGATAATGTCAAACCAAAGCAATGAGATTATGCGATTGAAAGAAAAACACATTATCTAATCCTCATCTTTACTTTTTTATTGCACACTAAATTAGGCTTTTTAGAAAGATACATCCCACCAATATCAAAATTATTTTGTGTAAATCTCAGCATCTGGACCCATTCTCCACCCATAAAAAAAAACCCTTTATTTATTTTTTGCTTTACCTTTTTCTGATTGAAGTATAAATGACAACCTGTTTGATTTTCAATCTAATAATAGTAATAATAATAATAATAATAATAATAATAATAATAATAATAATAATAATGTTGAAGAAAATGTTGCTGTCAACTGTCCACAGTTCTATACATGGAGAATGTACGTACAGTGATCAACAAGACTGGTGAATGATAAGATTGGGAACGATGCCGACACAACTTACATCTAGAGTTGTGTTCATGTAGGAAAATCGTTAGAAAGAAAAGTTAACCGCCTTCCAAAGATTAGTAATAATTTAACAAAATTTATAAATAAAATCAAATAAAGATTTGTCTTTTACTTTTTTTTTGTTTCTTTTTCTGAAGGGAAACTTCCAGCAGTGAATAAGTTAGTCAAAAGAAAAAACCAAACATAACCCCCTTTGCCTAGGCATAACGCAAGAATACTTCTCCCTTTCCCTCGTTGATTTGAATCAAATTCGATCAAAGCCAGCCTACTTCATAAACCCACAATATATTTCAATAAACAAAGCATAATAACATACCATCACCAATTTAAACATTTTTTTTTGGTTCCTTGCTCGGGAATAAGCATCAGAACAAGGTGTCGGCCGGCATAAGAGGCCCAGCTCATGATGCAGATTCCATAGTCATCTTTGCATCGGATTTGACGTAGAAAGAAACTACCGAGACATCTCATGTGACACTGACGTTTTTTCAAAAAAAAAAATCACATGCCCAAACCCTGATAATGTGCTTAAACAGTCTCACGAATCAATATGGACCTCAAACTTTGAGCTTTTGGCACTTTGGATCTCGTGGGTTTTATGTTTTTCAAATTAAACAGAGAATAATGATCGAATATATCGCATTTCTCGTTTTAGTAATGAGTGATTGAGCTTTTTTACCGAATATCGAATGCGGTAAAACCATTTACCATGGGATCTGAGGTCACGGGTTCGAAGCTGTCTCTCTACATAAAATGTGGGGATAAGGCGGCCTAATATATTCCCTTCCCCAGCACCCCACTAGATGGGATACGAACTGGGTTGGTCCTTTATCGAATGCGAATGCAGATCGTGCAGCTTCATCGCTTCTACTCAGTCGGAATACCTACCAACAAACGAACCAAGATTCAGCAAGAAGTTCTAGGAAAGTTAACACAGATCTCAATGGAATATCACATGTTTCAGGAGTTCAAGTGGATCGATCGAAAGCAAAGTTATGTCGTTTACAGGTTACATAACGCATCTTTTCACTTGTATAAACAGGAAATGCTAATGCAACTGTATTAGTAGATAGACCTATGCCCTTCATTATGTGGTTATGTGACACTAAACCTTGCATCACATACTTCCCTAACTAGGATATATATATATATATTTGTCAAAAGGCTCAAGAGCTTACTTTCCCCTGACTAGTCACAGAACCCCTTGAGCTTTGGCTCCATAGCCAGAATCTCCAGCATCCTATAAAAACACAGAAGACAGTACGGGCCTTTCAACACATGAATCTTTAAGACAGGGAATACCAGAAGGATACGAAAAAAATTGGAATTATCAGATACCTTTGCCTAATATGACTTGTCTTTAAGCCTCTCATTGATGAATTCAACTTCTTCAACGTTCACTCCTTCAAACAATTTCTTTGGGTGGAAATCGTATATATGCCAGAACAAGATCAATACTTGAGGATCCTTACTTTGTGGCATTTAGGACGATTATTTTCCTGGTAATTTGGCCATTGCATGTCAATTAAGATGAACAAATAAATTGATGCACATGCATTTTAGTTTATATTAATCAAGGTGCAGCAATAACCTCTTTTGAGCTATAGAGCTGCCACTTTGCTGACCTCTGAATCTCTGATTTGCTGATTTCGTGAATGTATTTCGAGATTCCCATTTTCCTGGCCGTCAGCCTGTTTTTGCAGGCGTTTCCTTCGTCTTGATTCTTCAACTTTCCTCATCTTCCATGGTGTGCTAATTTTCTTCTTCATTCATTCTCAGGTCTTACATTTTCTAATTTCACCAGAATCACACCTCAAGCAAATGAGCATACTTCAGAGTTCAGAGAACATGAGGTCCAAAAGAGAAAATGATCAGTCATCCTACAGGCAGTAAAAATTCCCTCCCTATCTGGTAAACTAGCATCCAAATCCCTTTTCTCCACCAATAGGACAAACAGCACATACAAGTGAGATCTACTGTCCGAACAAAAGAACCTTCCCAAGTGGACGCCTCTTGGATCAAAGATTATTGATTTCAACACCTAGTTCGATTTCCAGATTAAAAAAAAAAAAAAAAACTAAACTGTTATACTGTCCAATCATACATTGACCGGAAAAGCAACAACTGTGGGATCAATGCATGGAAGTAACAAGTGGGGACCAATTCATTTATATGCAAACACTTCCACTACTGATTACCGGTTTCTTCATCTTCGGATAACAAAACAGAACTCTATCGGAAAATGAAATTTGCAATGGCGCCATGAGAAAACTCCATTTTCCCCCAAACATCAGTCGCAAGCGAATCACACCAACTGGAGCAATACAAGTTAAATCGTCCTACACAATGAGCTCATCACCTAAAGGGCGTCAAACGGAGAGTGAGTGCACAAACCTCAGATTCGGATTCGGAGAGGAATTTCTTCAAGCATTCGGGAAACCGGAATCGATCGAGCGGAGAAGAAGAAGAAGAAGAAGAAGAACCTTCTGATCAGGTTCGAAATTGAGGGTTTTGCTCTCTTTCTCGCCTGCTTCCTTTACGTCTCGCGTTAATTATTTATTTATTTTTTAATAAACGATTTATGTGACCCAAACAAGACCTGTCGCGGGGTAATGGATCCTAAGTAGGTTTGGACATTTTTTTATTAGTAATTGATAAAAATCCAATTACTGAGCCCAATAACAACATATGGGCTTTAATATTATCTGTGTTTTAAATACATAAATAATTAATATTTATTATTCTACAATTCATAATTAATTCTTTTATACATATATATATATATATCGTTGGATAAGATGTAATTATCCATCCTCTTAATTTTAGATACATATCTTACAACCTTTTTTCCTCAAAGATTGTCAATTTCTAATATAAGGCATTTCGTCTTTTGTTGTCAAACCCGCTCCTTTTCTGTAACTATACAATTTTATTTTCAGACCAAACTAATGAACCGTTTTATTTTATTTGTTCTCTCTCTACCTACCTTGTCTGAACGTATTTTTCACCGTCGATTAATGGCTACCCAACAAAAACCTGCACTAAGTAATCAAATGCAAGATTGATTAATACAATTTTATTTAATCTTAAATTCATTCAAATTTGGAGAATTTAACCGGTAGCTTTTTTTCATTCCAAATTCGAACTTTAAATTTGGAAAAAAAAAATCTATATATATATATTCATGAATTTTCTAGATTGTTGAGCTTAGTATGAATTTCGGTATAAAACAATTGATTATATCGAAAAATAAATATAATTTTGGACCACCACTACGCATTGTATTTTTTTTATAAAAACTACTGATGCTACGCATGTGACCGGATCATCTCTGATATTTTTCTCGAGGCGCAATACCGTATAACATGTCACGAGCAATAAATCTATTTGTTTTAATTATTTAAATTCCAATATTACACGTCAGATTCGAACCAAGTCAAAAGGAGAAATCCCTTGCATGTCTTAGCTCATTCATTAAAGACAATAACAAAACTTTTTTTTTTGTTTTGGTGTAAGAGATCATTAAAAAAATCCTTGAAAAAATATGTCCATTACTTTTTAAAAAATACTGATGAGAATATCAACCTTAATGTCGGGTTTTATATTTATGTAACCTCCATTTAGCATGTTTACTATTAATGGAACTTGGCCATTTTATCAAAATACCTAAAAATCGTGTGGTGTATATATATATATATATATATCAGGAGTTC